ATGATATTAATCTTCTTCGCTAGCTTGCTTGTGATACAGTCTTTTTTTTAATTGGGGTGATCCGATAACGGGAACAATGTGAACGTGTGCTACTTCATTAATTGAAGGATTCCTCGAACTCACATTTCTCCTCATCCATGTGCAATCACAGGCGAACAGGGTTGCTCTAAAAGTATCTACACATAAGATGACGGGTCATGGGCCAGCTACAAGAAACTTGATATTCTTTCTAAGCAAATTCCAGAAAAGGAAATGCCAAAAGACAGAATGATCGTAAAGTACAACTTCACAAAAAACTTCAAAATTGAGCTTGGTAACAAAAACCACTGGGAAGGCTTGCCTAAAACTCAAATAATAAAGGAAAGTATGATAATAACGTACAAGGAAGATTTTGTTACCAGTAACGGTGAGGAGATGTACGCAATAGATATATGCGTCAGTTTCAATCTTGAACGCAACTTCCGGAACCGTAGTATTGCAATACTGGCTGATAGCCAGGCAGCTATAATGGTACTCATGTCTTACCAGGTAACTTCCAAACTGTTCCAAACTGTAGAGTGCATTGACAAGCTGAACATACTTGGGTGGAACAATCAGGTACATTTAATATGGATCCCGGGGCATGGTGGAATCCAAGGTAAGTAGCAGACTCGCAAAAAGAAGAGACGTGAATTTAATAATGAAAGGCCAAGAACCTTTCTGCGGTCTAGGCAAAGAAACTTTACCCCTGCTTATGAACATCGCAGAGGAAAAGGAAAAATAACTTTATTAGGAAAAACTCCAAAGACCATCACAATCTAAAATGCTTTTAGGGATAATCTTAAACGCTTCAAGGATTACATGAAACTAACAAAGAATAACATAAGACTTATAACCGGTCACAGTAGATTGCATAATCGCTTAACAAAGTTAGGACTACAATTCAGGTCAAACTGTAGATCATATACTATGTGCTAGGGGAATGCCCGACACAGATAGACAAGCGATGGAGTATATTTCATTGAACATAGGGATTTAAAGCTAGGAAAGATAGGTTATATAGTAAAATTCTTCCGCTTAATATTGCCGCTGGCTTATTCATTGACAAGAATATTGGTAGAAATTTTTTATTAAAAAATGGTTTACTTTGTGTGAGTGAAGCTGATATCAGCAACTTGGCAAATTTTATAAAGTTTTTTTTTATTTCACCCAATTAAATATTTTTAGTCAACATATATCTAAATTATATCCTTGAGTCTATAGTACAAATGGATAAGTGAGCAACTTATTTTTTTGTTTTTAACATTGAAATTTTACTTTTATTTAACTATGTACAGTTAATATCACTTACCGTGGAGAAAATAATTGATCACATCATAGCCTAGCTAAAATAATTTCCCACTCGAAGTATTTACTCGTAGCACAATCAATCAGGTCTGGAACAGGTGTTAACCTGCTTTTGGTGAATTCAATTTTTTAGTATTATAATTATTAGTTATTATTGATTAAAAAAATGCATACAGTACTTACAAAAATCATAGAATTTTACTTAAAATCTAAATTGACAATAACATAAGAACATAACAATAACATAATTGACAATAATTATTCACATATTAATTCTTCAATAATTAATCTTCTGTAATTTTAAACACTTTTTATAAATTTGTACAGGTCATTAGTATTGCCATCATTTAACAAGACTTTAAACAGAAGTACTTTTGCAAAAAAAAAGCGACTATGTTCTCTGAAACATTGACGTCCCGCAAACACCAATAATATGACCAATATTTTCGATTTCATGACGATTACACAAAGAATACTAACGTTCAGATCTATTAAATTTTCTGGCGTTTAAATTAAAAAGACCGCCCCTACATTTGAAAAGTACGTTCGATATGTGCTGAGTGTTTTTGTAATAAAAACTATATATAATGTTTATATTGCAGCTGTGGGTACATGTCCGTGTGTATAAAGTTATAATATTATTGTGTTATAATTTCAAAGATATAGTTCTAAACAAATATTTTCCTAGTCTTGGACCCAATATATGCCTTAGTTAATTGTAACTTCTGTCATTATTCGAGGAAGCCTTGTGGAGGGGAGATTAAGAATTTTCTTATATTGGCGAAATGTGTTTGCACTGCGTTGGTAATTCCGTTTCTATGTGGACCATATAGTTTGGGGTCTTAGTGGGTAAAAATGATTTTTTTTATTGCAAAATTTAAAGAGTTTTTTTACTTGATTATAATGTTTTAATTTAAATTTTTTATTAATATATTTATATACTTTATTAGAAATTGTTGTTAAGTCTTAATATATGGCATACATTCAGATTTGATCAGTTTTTATATAATTTACGTAGCTTCCTTATAATATTTAAAATCAAATTTTTTACTAATAATTTCCCTTCTCAGGATTTGGAGAGACGAAGTATAAGTTGGTAGGAATATTTTTCTGATAACTTTACAAATGGAATTTATACATGTTGACATGTACGCAGTTTGGTAGACATATGTACTGATGGATCCGATAAAGTTATATATATTAAAATCAGTTACATTCATATGATATCGTAGGAGTGTACTGTCTAAAATGACAGTCGTCGATCACTATAACCAAGTAAACATTTTTTAATGAATCTCAAACTGTTAATTAATAATATTTAAGCGAAAATATATGTTACATTATATAAATAAATATAATAATTTTTTCGACGGTATTAGAATTTTTTATACCAACAAAAAAATTTGTTTACTATTTTATTAGCGAAAATAAAAATTTTGTAATTAACTCAAAATTTTATAGCATACTTTTAAGCTGAAAATATATTTTAATACATAACTTCGTTAATCATCTCATCCCATAATTCCATAGTTTTATAAAACAAAATTTAATTAATTAATACAATAAAATTAAAAAGTAAAATTGTAAAGTTCACCCAAGAAGTCAGATTTCTGGGTATCATCCTAGGCAAAAAGCGCAATTGGAATAAACACATTAAGCTGAAAACTGAACACGATCATAGATATGGAATATGGATGAAGCATATACTGACGCACTTTGTCTTTATAACATTGGCTAGATAGATAAAGTTCAACATCTACAAATTAGCAAGCTAGACAAAAAAAAAAAATTATATTTTGAAAAGTATTTCAAATTAAATATTTTATATTCAACAATTTGTGAAAAAAATCTAAATAAAATAAGTGAGACTGCGCAAACTTGATACGCGGATGGCTCTTCCTTTGAGAATGATTACTCTGAAATAACTAATACATTTACTCCATAAAGCTTTGTCAATTTTCAACTGCATTTTAAGCAAAGTTATTTACGAGTGTATAGTATAAAAGATAAATGGAGGAACAATTAATAGAATGTCAAAGCCCTGTGATTTTACTGATCTTAACTTCTGTAAAAATTCATTAAGGATCAGTGAATATCTGCATATCGTTCATTAGTAAACTAAAACAAAGCAATTGCGTTATTTTGTGGTGGGCTCCGAGTCATAAAGGCACGGAAAGAGTTACCAGATTTCCATTTAAAGAAGAAGTTAACCTCAATTTATTGAAACTGAACCAATCGGTACACTGGTGAAAGTATACTTAGCGATCAACTCAGATCAACTGGTAGAAATTCCAACATACAAACAATTGGAAGAATAGTTAAGGTTACGATATTTATGAACCTATCTGCTGTAGTCTCAAATAGACTTTGTGCACGCAGCAGAGAGATTGTCAAAATTCTTAGCGGGTGCTGATTGGGTATTATATGGTATTTACCGGCATTTGCCATTTTTCTAAAAAGGATATTAAATAGTCTGAAAGTATTTTCTGTGATTGCCCAAAATCATAGCAATAACAGACTTATATATTATACGAATATAATTAATCAAAGGGTTCAAGTGTGCTTACATTCATTAAATGCATTCATTCATTATCCATACTTAGTAATATTATATCCATACTTTTAATACGAGTACGATGATACCTATAAAGATGTACTAAAATAATTGATGAAAATAATGAACACATTTAATTTTCTTCATTTTATATTTCTATTAAAATTAAGTCCTGATTTGAACGGATTATGGAACGTAGATTAAAGCGACTTTCATAAATTTGTTTTCTCTGATTAAATTGATAGTTTCCCTTTTAGAACTACATCCACTAAAATGGATGTGGATTAGGGCCGAAAAATAAACATTTTCTTATGTCAAAAATATATTTTCTTTAATGATAAGATAGGTTGATTGAACACCGCATCTGAAGAAAACGAACAATAAGGCTTAGTCCTTTCTATGATGACTGTTGTTAATGTTGTGGTTCTGCAAAACAGGAAGAAACTGTTTTTCAACTTACCTATGTGTTAACGTTTATCTAAGGCCAATATAAGATTAAGATTATTTGATGTCCCTTTTTATTAAGATCCGCAGAAACTGTCATTCTTTCTTTGATATAGTAATGACACTACTATATTAATAAAGTCATTACTTCGATGGAAAGGTTCCGTCTTTTTAAAGTCCATCTTTGACCAGCAGAAAATTAAAATTGTCTGAATTCTTACCACTTTTACCGATCTTTTAAAATAAAGGAACCAGCTAAAACTAATCAAGTTAGATCACTGTTACTTCTCGAGATGACAAATTTTGTAATCGAGGCAGTTTTAGTTTATTTTGTATAACTTGATCAAGTTTTTTTTTAATAATTTACTATATCTGATAGTTCCTTAAATCAATGTATACGTTTTATTTTGAAGTATTTATACATTTGTTATTCTAATTACTAAAATTATTAAAATAAATAATTGTTATAAAAGTCAAAAAAGCTTATAAGTTATATGTGTGGATCGCGTTATGAAATATTAATAATAAATTATATAAATAATATATAACTATTAGTTACAATAATTATAACATTGTTATAATTAATATAAATAAAAAAAAATTTCTTTTATGTAACTTACATATTTTAAATTAATTTATAAACTTTTAGAGTGAAAGGAAAAGCTTAAGTAGTTATTTAGGCGTATGAACCGCCCTCCGAATCTTGCTGCGACGGCACTGAATAGCTATCACTTGGTTCTATGGTTAGTTCTATACGTGTTGGTTCACGTACCGGCGTATTACTTTGTGGTGAAATAGACTGTTTTTGCTTTTCTGTTTGTATTTGTTGTTGTTGTTGTGCTACACGCGGCTGTGGTGAGAATGGTGCTGGTGAAAATGGTGCAGGTGCTTGAAATTTTAATAGAGGTGGTGTTGGTATTCTCACATTTGAAGGCTCGCGATTAACGACTGCATTAAAGCCATGTACATCATCAGCTGTATAGGTGACCGTACGTTTGAAGCCATCAGGATCAATAAGACTGTACACACCACGTACAAGATATCCGTCACGTGTTTCTTTGTGAGATTTAATATCACCGGTACTCTCATCATTCACACTGTAACTATATTCATACTTAGCGGGTGCAGGTGGATAATAAACTGGAGTAGATGATGGTCTTGGACGTGCACTGAATGTGTATGGTACTGATTGGGTATTATTTCCAGTAGTACTAACATTGTAATTGTTTTCAAGGTTGCTGGTATAGGGCTTTAGACTAGATCCAGTTTTATTATTGGTATTTGTTGTCCTTGATGGGGTTGTGTTTAGGTTTGGTCGCTTATATTCATAATCGCCAGCTGTGACTATGGTGCAAAGACATGCAATCAGCATAAACTGTACGGATTGTTTTTTTTAGCATATGTTAATAGATTTTATATATGATAGGTTAATGGATTAATTACCTTGTAAGCCATGATGTAAAAATTTATAGTGTGAGATCAATTCTGAAATGAAAGTAATGGTGTTACTTGCTTGAATTTCGATATGCAAGTGTCAACATTAATGGCAAATTTATATATTTTTATAGAAAATTTTTAAATTCATTCATTATTAAATACACTTTTATTTTTAAAAATAATATTAACAAGTTATAGTAATGTAGTAATAGGATTACTAGACTACATGACGCAGGGAATGTGTAACTATGCAATGGCTGTTGTTTAGAGTTAGTAATTTTACTTCACAACTCATTTCTCAGTTCCGGTGACCTTATTGTATCTTCCTTATCTCATTATAATATTTTGCAAACATTTAAAAACCGTTTATATTATGAATATAGTTTAATTTTGAATAGTCAATGAAATTGTAATAACTAAATTATTAACCCGAACATTTTGCATTAAGTGTAACAATTGGATTAAGTATTGAAGCAACAAAAATATCTTTTTTTATTTTTCCACTCTTACTTTTACACGATTTTTTCATATATGTATATAGATACTTAGTAATGTTGTTTCTGGCATTTAATTTCTTATTAATAAATTCACAACTGAAAATGTAATATAATAAGTAGATCATATTCATTGTTCGCTTAATAACTATTCTAGGCGATTGAGTCTTAACTTTATTATTATTCTTATGAATTACTAACTATATCCAAATGATTGGTATTAATTTTTGATTATTTAACCTCACTCCATTCAACAATACAAACATTAATATATATACTTTAACCTTTTTTATTATCTTCATGTTACCATCTAAAGTTAATGTTCTGCTTAAAATGGTTTAGAAAACAACAACAATGTGTCTATGATTAAGAGAGCTTTCTGAAACTTCTTAAAAAAATAAAATAAAATTAATTTTTAGCCTTAATATATCACAATTGCTGATATATAGAACCATCGTTGTACCATCATTACCGAGTTAAAACCTTAGTCAATTGATTGGATAGCAACCCATGACAGCCGTTCAAAGCGACCAATGACGCAACAGTCGTCTGATAAGGGTATGGTGTCATTATTCTGGACCAGATCATGAAAAAATGAGTCCACAAGGAAAAAAATTCTGCGAGATGGCAATAATGTCGAAATTGCATAAACTACACCCAGATTTGGATCCAGCGATTACTACCTTTGGGCAAACATAAAAAAAATTGCAACATGGAGTAATAGACTTGTTTAATCCTCAACCTAAACTAAGGTCTATTGTGTGTCCAAACAAATATCTTTCTACAAGAGAGGTATCGAGTTGTTAAAAAAGGAAAAATAATAATGTCGAATTTTGTCAAAGATATGTGTAAGATATGTTTATTCAAAGTATAAATCGTTTAGCATTGATTGACTGTTTCATTAATTGATTGACATAATTGACTCTTAGTAAAAATTTATAAGAGGTGAAGGGAACTTCTAATATTGCGAAAGTAGTCTTTTTAATTTACCAATAACTATTCAACATATACTCTAGCATTAAGTAGAGCACAATTCCTAATTGATTTCTGATCAATGATCTAGACATTTCACATCTATAAAACACATTTTTCGGCAATACCTAAAATAAAATAAATCATTCAAAGTGACGACGTTTGTTAAAATCCTTAGGATCTAGTAAAACAACAGGGTTGAACGCATCATAGTCACGGTTTATATTATTCTTTAGCTGATTATTGTAATTTATCGGATATGGCATATTATTTCGAATAATTTTTTTGATGTGAAAGATAAATAATATACATGAGACATATACCTTTGCTCAAAAAGTATCCGGATTTTGTTGTTTGTTAACTATTCCTTAAGTAATAGACCTTTTTTAAAATTTTTTTTTTTGTTACCTATGTTAGTACATCCTTTCTGGACATATGGTACAAATTTGAACACGGCACCACTGTCATCGCTCAGCCATCATATTTGCTAGACCTGGCGCCGTGCGACTTTTTCCTGTTCCGGAAACTCAAATTGCCCCTTCGTGGTAAGCGTTTTGAGTCGATTGAATCGGTAAAAGAGAATTCGTCGAAGGAACTAAAAGCCATACCTTCACGGGCCTACGAAAAGTGTATGGAAGATTGGGTTAAGCGTTGGCGTATGTGTAACGCTTCAGAAGGAGCATATTTTGAAGGAGATAATATAAATTTGGAATAAAATTTAAATTTGTGTGTTTTATTTACAAAATCCGGGTACTTTTCGAGCTGGAGGTAGACCACTCTTTTCCAAATGGAACACCTCCTGACCTCATCTATTTTATTTTGACAAACAATTTTTCTATGAGCTCCTTTAAAGAAACATAACTATATCTTGAGAAAACAATTCAAAATGGCTCCTCTAGAAGATATGAGCCCATGGTGTGTTGAGAGTTGTGTTCAAAGTTAAAGAGCTATTACATGTCTCAGATATGATACGTTACAATATTGTTTAAAAATAGTTGAGTTTGCACAATTAAGTGATAAGCCTTATTTTCAATATGTCAATCACGTATGGGTTAAAGAAAGAGAGTTTTATTTCTTTGGGGTATCTATAAGTAATGATAGTCGAGTGTAGGACCACTCATATACGGTGAATAAGACCTACTTTGCTGATAAGAATCTTTTATGTTAAAGTTTCTGCTAAGAATATACAAGGTACAGTTGTTCAAAATGGTTAGAATATCCGTTGCCACGTATGAATAATAACAAATTAAGTTAAAAAAATGTTAAAAATTTTTGTAAGTAACATGACGAGACTAGTTTTGAAGCGAATAGATGTGAACGCAGAGATTTCTGAATCAGAAATATTTTTAGGTTGTTGAACTTAATTAAAAGTAAAAGTAGTTATAGTTATCAAAGATTGGTTAGTACAGGTTAGAACAGGTTGACAATATTTAAAGAATAGACGATAATCATACGTGAAAAATGATTCTAGAGAACACGTTATTAGCAGCAAGAAATAGAGATGTCTTACGTAGACGGTTAATCTACTTTAGTGATCTTTGCATAACAGCAACTAAATTAGTAAATTAGAGCAATATATCGAAGAGTAGAGAATAATGCAGGACAAATATCTGACTAAACCGAAATTTAGCGCATGTTGTAGAGCTAGAAATATTCAAATTTTTAGGGAAAATAATATTAATGCGTGTGGTGTATTATTACTAGTATGAAAAAAGGGAAAGTATAATGCGACCTAAAAAATCTGTTGTGCCCATTAGTCGGATTAGAGTGTTTTTCCAATTCCGATTTCTTTAAAGAAAGGCAGTATAGAGCCTATATTTTGTGTACTTGAATCCCGTGTTTCATGAAATACTCTCCTAGGTGTTTTTTGCGCTTGTGCATCAGTGCCGGGCACTTCCCTAGCACTTCTTATGCTTATGTTTCTCTTTCTTCTCTACAGAAACTGCAGTTTAAGCTGAATTGGATTCCTAACTTTGTTAAATGATTATTTAATCTACAGTGACCGGTTAGTGATCTCGTAATAATTCCTAGGTTATTCTTTGTTAGGTTGTAAGTCCCTAAAAGTATAGATTGTTTTAGTCTAAGTAACCTTTCCTAATAGAGTTCTCTTTCTTTTTTCTATGCGCCGAATGAATAGAGTTTATTTGTCATTTCAATACCTTGGATACCAGCATGCCCGGATCTATCGCGTGCATTTCTTCCTGAAAGATGATTACATTCCTTTACAGTGCTTCCGAGTATCTGTTAACTCACATAAAATGAAAGACAATCACAAAAAATTTATTTAAATACATAATTATCACGAAATTTATTTAATGTACGTTCACAAAGGAATTAAGATCTTTTCTTACAAAAATAATAAATATAAAAAATCTTATAGTCTATATACAATTTAATACAATTCATTAACAATTAATTAATATATAACAAAATTATTTCTAAAAATTGTCAGGCAATGTTGTGTCATCCATACTAACAGTTGTCGTCTCCAAATCGCTTTGGAATAAATCTTGTACTTCAGCTTCTGAAAATTTCCTTGGCAAAGATTCTGGCAGTCTTTTGAGACCAAACCCTTGGAAACGATAAATTAAGAATTCAAAAGCATACATATCATTTGGATCCGTATAATGGAACGCAATGGAATAATTCGAACAACAATCCAAACCCTAAAATAATAAATGATATTTTAATATAGTCAACATTTTGATATATTTGATATTTGTGGGATTAAAATTTTAAAATATTAAATTGTTTTAATAAAAAAATCAGTAAATATTTCTCGATTGTATTTAGTTATTATGAAACTTTTATAAATCGATAAATTATTAATAGGTCTGTTCGAGATGGCCTCGATGTATTAAGATGGTAAAGAAGGTTCAAATGTCCTGTCAGAAAACCGTACTGGAATCTCAGTGTAATCCTGTTGGAAGGAACTAATTAGAGAGTGGTTTTAGACTGAAAAAAATATAATAACTATATGCTAACCAAATATTATAATGCCAATAATAAGAACAAAAACTAATTAACTTAAATGAAAAAAATGTCAAGATCTGCAATGAAAGAGATTTCGACAGCAATGGAGAACATTGAACATATATTCCAACTCTTTTAGTATATTTTCAAAATGACGAACCATAAAGTACGTAGTTTTTAATTCTTTTTTTTTTACCCAGTTCTTGAAGACATCAGTGTAACAGATGTCAAATAACTCACCTATGTGTACAGAAGCAGATCAATTGTGGTGTCACAAAGAAATGTAATAGCAAGCCCAAATAACCTCTATAAATTTAAGTTAACGAGCTAATGCATTGTAGAGTAGAAAACCAATAACTGCTTTGTAAAGCAGGCTATATCTTTAATGTCTCAGTTAAAGATATTTTAGGTGAATATTTTAAATTAAAAGTTCTGAAGAACACAATCGACTTATGGTGAATGCTGCGCAGTAACAGATTATATAAGATTATTTTTTCATCTCTTTGACACTGAGCTAGTGTAGTAGTCACTAAATGGATTTCTAATTTAATCGATATCTCTATCAATAAGGCAGTGTCCTGTGAGTGTAACAATTATTTTCAAAAATCAAATAACAATCCAGGAATAAAATTTGAATATAGTATTGTTATTTTTTGAAGCTGTTGGGATTACTCAAACGTTTTTGACATGTCAGGGGCAATCGCTGATCATCGGAACTAAATATTACATATTACTAAAATCTTTGTAAAGTACCAATCTGTATACTCATTTAATTAAAAATTTGATACTACTAATTTATAATTTATTAGATATATAATTATTGAGTTATTAATAAACGAAAAATGTACGTTGTGCTGAATCTTACCACTTCCACTGGATATGGTGTCATATCAATCAACCAATCTGCTATTGTTGTATTCCATTGCGGTTCCATATACGATAATAAGTCCAGAGGGAAGAATTTTGGTTTACTGTCATTTGCTAATGCATTGCGCGAGTCGCCCATATAAACACCGACATTCCTCAAACAAACGCCCATATAGAAATCTTCTGCACCAAATCTTTGTGCTTTTGGACATATTGCTTCATTGTGAAATGATGACTCCATAAAACGCTGCAAAGCCTCCTTACTTAAGACATAAGCTGCACCACCAGACATATAAGGCTAGAAATATGTGTAAATATTTATTTACTAAATTAAAAATTAATTAAAATAAATGGGGTAAAAAATATTATAACATATAAAAAGATATATATTAAAACTAATCAGTAATGTTTAGACTATTCTCCAAGATTTGTTGGTGACTCATCTATGTTTATTAAAATTAGTAGTTCAATAGAATTTTAAACAAATTCATTATTATATCTGAAATATTCTATTTTTATTTATGAAATATTTTTTTGTAATTATTTAAAACTTTAAATTGCTACTTTAAATCACTTTTAAACAGAAGTTAGTTTCAGATATCGGTAGATGTGAATCTATTTTCTTGGCTAAGAATTCGAATGCTACAGAAAGGTTATTGATCAATTTTCATGTATTGAATCAATGCTGAAGTGATCTTATTAATTTATTAATCTGATAACTTTTAATGATTTTTTAATGACGAGTAATCACTACTTAAAAAAAAGGTGTTGAATAGCTTTAATCGTACGTTTTTGTGAAGAGTATTTAATAGAAAAGGGTGTACATGGTTAGAGGATAATTAAAGGACTATACAACAATTTTTAATGTAATAGCAAATACTTGCAACAGCTAAACTGGCAATTAAACAAAAATATCTAAGCATTGCTAAGCAACAATGGTCAAGTGAGCCTAGTTGTCACATTTCTAGGTCGATTTGGTCTAACTTGGATAAAAAGCGTACGGGTCAGCTGCTCCAACTAAAGAGAGATCTGCTCAGTACTACGGTATCGGTGCTGATTGGTTATTGCTTAATACGGAGGCATGCAATGAGACTGGGTCTTCCTTATAATGACCTTTGTCGCGGTTGTGGCTTTGAGGACGAGGAGGAAACTGTGTTCCATCTCATGTGTCAGTGCCCATCTTTAGCCAGAAGAAGATCAAAAATCTTGAGGGCCCCTTTTCTGACTGATCTGACTGAGCTGTCATTCTACAATGTGAAGGACCTAGCTAGATTCATAGAACTGTCGGGTTGGTTCTCCTTCACCTAATGGGGGAGTCGTTGCCTCTCTGTTGGACTTTGGTCGTATACTGATCACCTTATCTATATACGAACATCGCTTTTTCCTTGTGGTACCACAACGGGCCATTATTTGTGCTCAAGTGGGCTTTCTTGGTAAACAAGGCCGCCACTCCAACCTACCTAATAGCAAATACACTGTATAAGTTTTCGTACTGATCTTTGTCAAGTTGAGTATACAAATATTCTGCAATTTATTATATCCACTGTTTCTTGCTGTATTAGAAGTATTAATGTGAATATCATTGGTATGGTGCAAAAATTGTCTTTATTTAAAGACAGAGTAGTAGATTTGGAACTGATAATGGGTGTCTACTGTACTATAGTATATATAGATATATTTTAAACTATGTCAACTAACCAAATAAGATTAATATAGCGCTTAAAGAATGGCTACCGTCGACAGAAAAAGAAAGGAACTCTACCATAGTTGATCAAAAGTAATTATCATAATTGTCATCATAAATCTTTATATAATATAAATGCTAGTTTAGAACAACAGATTATTTATCGTTACTTCTAATTATAAGAAATAAGGGAGGCTTTATACTCCACCTTGAGCATAGAAATGATGTCTTAAAATTCGTTTTTGTTATAATTGTCATAAGTTATCATATTATATTATCATCATATCAGATACATGATCTTATAGCAATAAATTTTTTATTTCAAAAGAAATTCTTCATCAGTTCTTGCTTTTATTCTTTAACAATTTTATCAGTAAATTACTTATAATCCACATTATAATATTATGATGAATGAAATATTCATGACTTCTTGAAATGAAGTTCACAGGAAAAACAATATTTAACTTGCGGCGATTATATATTCCCAAGGTACAACAATGAAGTGAGGGTGACTTAAGACTTCGTGGCTAAGGTATATTGGTAATTAAATTACATATATAATAATAATACCTATATAATAATAATAACAACTTCTCGGAACGTTATTCTACAGTATTTGGGCCTTTGGTCCCTATAACTCTGGCTAGAACAACAGACATAAATAGTTGTTTAAATGTGACTCTGATCAAGACGTGCTTCTGTGATATGATTTAATGTAGCATTTACTCAATGAACTTTTTGAACGTGGAAAATATCTTAATTTTATGATATATATTTATATATTTTTTGACAAATTTGTGTTTACAAGCTGTCGGGTGTTTTAGTGCTAATAACTTTAAGACCTTTTTTAGATAATTAGAGTTATATTAACATTAATTCTGTTGCTTAAGTGTTTTTCAAAATATATTTTTAAGCGCGCAAATTATTACAACAAATATGATAATATGTAAAAATAATTAGCATAAATAAAAAAAAAATTATGTTAAACCCACAAACAAAAAAATTGTTGATTAAGTTACTGAAATATAACGTTGAAGCTAAAAATATTTCGGTCTCTTTTTTGTATTTCAAACTTGTTCGCTTATCTTTTTTACTACTATCACGTGCTATTCAAATTTCTTTGTTAGCATTTAACTATTTAACTGCTTATCATGACATACCTCATTGATTTATAATAACTTTACTATAAATTACTGAATATTTTTGGTAAAATGGGGTTTCATTGAACTTCTTCAGTTTTTAACTAGACCTTTCCAGTTAAACTATAGAACTATAGAACTATAGAACTATAGAACTACAGAACTATAGAACTATAGAACTATAGAACTATAGAACTATAGAACTATAGAACTATAGAACTATAGAACTATAGAACTATAGAACTATAGAACTATAGAACTATAGAACTATAGAACTATAGAACTATAGAACTATAGAACTATAGACTAATAGAACTATAGAACTATATAGAACTATAGAACTATAGAACTATAGAACTATAGAACTATAGAACTATAGAACTATAGAACTATAGAACTATAGAACTATAGAACTATAGAACTATAGAACTATAGAACTATAGAACTATAGAACTATAGAACTATGAACTATTATAGAACTATAGAAACTATAGAACTATAGAACTATAGAACTATAGAACTATAGAACTATAGAACTATAGAACTATAGAACTATAGAACTATAGAACTATAGAACTATAGAACTATAGAACTATAGAACTATAGAACTATAGAACTATAGAACTATAGAACTATAACTAGAACTATAGAACTATAGAACTATAGAACTATAACTATAACTATAACTATAACTATAACTATAACTATAATTATAACAGTTTACAGTTTGAAAATTTTAGTATTTTTTTGTAGGTATACGGTTTTATTATATGATTCTCTCTTTACTTGATAATTTATTTTGTATTGGCCCATTATTTTGTATTTAACCCACAAAAGGGTTGAGTGTCTGTAAAAATAATTTTTAATGCAGCTTTGCCTAGCTCATCAGCTTGTTCATTTCCCAAAACTCCCCTGTGATCCGGAACCCAATGAAGACTTATCTTATTTCAAGCTGCAAGTAATTGCAAACTGTTTTAATAAGGTCTTATATGTATGGATTATGCGATTAAAGAGTTACGAAAGCTGGTTTTAATAGAGCACTGCATCTATGATGCCATGACTATGTTTTGGAATAAAAATCTTATCTTTAAATAGATGTTATTTCCATGGAGTATTTGATGAACAGACTTACGAAAACTGTTTTTAATATAAGTACTTTGTCTAGTTAGTTCAAAAATAAAATCTTACCTGTTAGAATTGTTGTTTTCTACTGGAATTAATAATTAATATATTACTGATAAATATATAAAATATAAATAATATCTAAAAATATCTGTTAAATTATTTTTTGTATTATTCTTATAATTGCGTTCTAATGTTATTCTTGAGTACAAGAGAACCTCTGAGTCGAGTATTCATAATATCTCCATGCAAAAACCGTTGCAACTGTCAATTAAGACAAACAAAAATTAAAATATTCAAATTTTTAAATTATAATTAATTTTTTAGCAACAATCTTTTAACATCCACAACAAAAAACCCATATTAATTAACATATTGAAAACGAAATTGAATTTAAAATATTTTTATTTTGGATTTTAAATCAGGCGGACGGTAGTCGTTAAGAAGATATAAATGAAGAAAAAATTACCACAAACATTTTTGGTATCCAGCATCTCCGAAACGTACATGGTTTCAACTAGTATAGGCCATAAAAGGTATAAATAGAGAATATTAAATAAATATATTTGTAAAAAAAGTTAGTAATGAACACATAAAGAGGAGCTTAGAACATGTATCTCAAGACAGGTTTCGTCTGACTTTTAAGGTAAAAATATTATGAGTATCGAAGAAATGGACAGATACATATGTTGCCAACGTTGCTGGTTCTAAAAAGCTTCAAATTCGAAACGAAATGCGCAACCTTTGTAGTTCAGACTGGTTAAGAGGTAATAATTAATTAAGCAATAATTAAAAATAAGAGAAGTTAATTAAATTTTCATTTTTATTATAAAAAGTTTAAAAAAAAAATTAAAAAAAAAATTTAGGCCTTTTTTTTTGACTAAATAATGTATTTTTTATTGCACCGAATACGTTTTTGTGAAGCAATAAAATTCTCAAGGCAAGTGTACTTTTTATCTACTCGTACATTTATAAAAATTTTATTACTCGCACAGATTAATTTAAGGAAGTTAGGCATAATACTGAGAAGTTTCGGAAATTATCTTTTTGTTGATAAAAAATAATAAAAAAAAAATGCAGTAAAAGCTGATCATTTTTTGGAAGCACTTTTTTAAAACTTCACATATTTAAATTATCACATGCGTAAATATTTAAGTGAAACTGAAGGGCACCCATTAAACGAAATTCTCATATCATTTTGGCTATTCAGTAAGACATTATTCACATGTAAGAAAATAAAAATCAAAAACACTGAAATAATTAGTTTTTATCAAATTTTCCACCGATAAACCACAAAAGTAATAGACCGATAAAATTAAGAAGCTACCCGAAAAGTGGAAGAAGATCATAAAT